GCCATTTCAATGTGACGTCATTCAGACAAAAATCAAAGAAACCTAAATTTTAACAGTTTCAGTTCAAAAGCACATCTGCAAGTACGTGTGAGCTGAATTTCATATAATTTGATGCAAAATTGCGCAAAATAACGAACAACTAGCATTTCTTTTTGACTCCACCTCGTAGTTTCATTTAGATCTAATCTAGGGAAAGTCCGTCTTCTAAGACGCCATTGTAAACAAGTGAAGTTTCCGTTCAATAGCCGTGCGCACTGCTTCCACACTTTTGAAATTCTGGAGTGCACAACCACGAAAGCGGAATAGAGAATCAAACTATACATCTATTATATATTTGGCAAGTTGGTAACACAAGTGTCACTTTTCTCTCAAGATTTATTTCTCCATTGCAGTAGAGTGTAAAAATAATAGGCCAATGACTTTCAGTTGATGTTAATGCACGGATCATTCCTTTCATCGAAAGGGCGCCCAGCTAGTAATATAATCATGTTGGGCGTAAATAGATGCTTTGTATTATTTCCATCTTTCCTTCAGTTAATAGGGATGGGTTAGACACCAACATGAAGTGTTGTATTCAAAATAAAAAATGGATATTTTGATAAAGGTGAAACAGAAATATACTCTGTCACATTTTTAAGTATACATATTTTGAAGCTCAATAAAACAAAATCTAAGGCACCAATTACTTTCAAATTTACACACTAATTACGTGATATACCTGTCGCTGGTGAGCTTTTTCAGATTTCTGAACGCGTGAGTGGTTTTGTAACTGCATGCGTTTTACATGTTTTGTGTTTTTTGAGAATTACTCATGATACGGCAATGATTTGTTGAAAAAAGAAGCACACATCAAAGCTTTGTTATTATTGTAACAATTCACCAGTTATAAAACTTGTTTTATCTACGTTTCACGATATCATGCCCTAAGAGAAAATGAGCGAAATCAGCTTGTTGGAATGATCCACGGGGGGGGGGGGTGCCTCAGTATCCACCGTTTGCAAGACATTTTAATGTAACACGAAGAACTGTGTACACAACAATGAATCATGAGAAAACAATAAAATCAGTAAAGGATCGGCACCTAAGTTGAGGGAGAAGAAAAACTACCCCAAGAGAGAATCTTTTAATACGCCTGTCGCATCTACGGAATCGTTTCAAAACTGCAAGACAAACCAGAGATGATTTGAACAACATGCGACAACACCAGCCTCAGACACTTCCTCAATTTGAGAGAGCATCGCATGAAGAGTGGAATAACATCCCTCAACAGGCAGTGCAGCGATTGATTGATTCAAGGCGGCGATGTCAGGCTGTCATCAAAGCTACTGATCGTGTTACTTTTGTAGACCACCCCCCACACTCTTGTAAGTCGTGAATAAACCTATTATGCTTACATTCCGTATTGTTGTTATTGATTTCGTTTTTAAAATTGATTGAATTCGTATTCCTGAAATTTTAAAAAATATCGATTAATTGTGAAACGAGCTATTTTTCCTTTTAACACATGTATACTTAAAAATGTGACAGAGTATATTTAGAAAACGGATACGAGTTCCTTTCGGCTCCTTCTTTATTATTCCAGTTTAAGTTATTGGTGTAGTTGTATGCTCTGCCGTACGTTCCATTGACGCAATTTAGATTAATAAGGAGGCAGGTTGGTTTGATTTGTTTTCGTTTTTTTGTTTTTTGGTAAGTGTTTTACTGCGGTCGCAAATGCACATGAGCGTGCGGGACACACCAAACATTTTCAGTTGGTAGGAAATTTGAAATTTTGCCCGAGTGGCGGCCGAAGCCTACTCTTATCGATTTTAGATCACCATAGGATCTTAAACGTGAGTAACATGCACACGGGACCTCCGAGATTTTTTGCCCTTGTCCGCGTAGGCTAGGTGTAGATCTTTTCTACCAGAAGATCAGGGGTGCAGCTGAAACACAGCAGTAAGAAGGAGCCAAGGAGTAGCAGTAGAAAGACAACAGAAAGAGTTAGAAGCACAGAGGAGGTGGCAAATGAAGAGAGGGGAGGGGGACCAGAAAGTGGAGACGAAAAAACTAAAGAGCAGGAACGGAGATGAAAGAGGACAATTTTAGAGAAGAATTCTTTCTCGTCGCTACTCGGATTCGAACCCGCGACATTTGAATAAGAGACGAACACCTTAACCTCTAGGCCACGAGAGTCCCCGGAAGCTGGTTGATTTAGGCCTTGTGACAAAGGGTAAACCAGGGCTAAGAGTGATACAACGTCCAGACAGACAGAAATATCCCAAAACAAAACAACAACAAAACGTTTAAACTCCAAAAATGTACTTCAAACTCACGTATTCTAATTGCTGAGGGTTTTTTTGTTCGAGTTAAGAGAAGCTCATCAACACAATACTGGTCATGTAGTGATTGGGAAAAAATGTAAGATAAACAGACAGAAAAAACAAGGAAAAAAATAAAGAAACACGATCTACCAGCAAAAATCTTCAATGATCCCTATGTCATCTGCATGCGCTCAAAGCGCCATCCGCTACACCACAATCACCATTAGTAAGAGTTAATGTGTGAGAAATTATGAGACCTCTTTTTTTTGTCCCTTGTCCATTTCAATTATATTGAATCCATGTAATTATAGTGCGGTCAAAAATTCGTGGGGCGACTTATTTTTAAATATCTTTTCAACTATCGAACATAGGTTCTCCAATTTTTGCAGTGACTTGTATCAATTTGTCTTACCAAATCAACATTTTTGTAAACACCTGCAAGCTGTATTCTAGAAAATTCCTTAATAAATACTAATAAAAATCCAAGTGAGATTTTTAAATATTTACAGCTGGGGCAATATAGCTTTTAATAGCAAGTCCGTCAGGTTTTTCAAATCGGGACATTATGCTTACTGAACTCATGTTTTGAGAGCCATTAGTGCAAAAATGTGTTCACTACAACAATAATTTCTTGTAACAAGTTTTGCGAATAAAAATTGCCATTGATGATCTGTGAAGTAGGGCATATGAGTAATCAAAATGTGTGTGAGAAGCGGGAAGTGCTGTGAACAATACCATTTTACGTGTGACGGAGATTCCAAGTATTTTATATAAATTTTAAAAGAAAAGTTTTTTAATCTAGCCCCTATTGTTCTGTGAAAATATGATTTAGTTAAGACAAATTGATACAAACTGCTATGCAAAGTATGGATGACATTGATTCACCCGTTAAAGAGATTGATATTTGAGGATAAGGTGCACCACGAATTTTGACCGCATTTTGGTAGACAAATGTGTGTAAGATAGTGTCCAATAGTGTACTACGTATATAATTGTTATAACATATATAATAATTGTTACAGATAGATATTCAAGATAATTATAGATGTGTGTCATGGATCTGAGAGGAAAGATGATTTTAGATATGATGGTGGTGATATGTGATGATGTGATATGGTGTTTATATAAATTATTGAGAAGTCATGCTTCTGTTAGTTTTTTAAAAAATGTTAACGTTAGTCTTATCTTCCTCTGTTCCGATGAGTCGCGAGGGATGTGGGCACCCGCTATCCCGTTCCCTACTGGAACCATCTTTAATGTCACCATAAAATTCCGAACGTCTGATTTACCGAGGAAACAACGGAGCTAAAAATTGTAGTAGCACCAGACTGTACAATGTTGTAGAGATCTGGACTGTAATCTTTTTATGGACGTAGCGGACATTTACTGTGCGATAAACAGCAGACCAAGGGTGCGGCATATTTCGAGCTATCATACACACATTGAATTGGAATGTTCCGTCTCATGTATGTTGTTTCTTGTCTGTATAAGTTTCGGATTTTGGATAAAGAAAGTGTGTCTGTACGCTGTGTGTCCCTGTATTTGTCAGTGTATATATATATA